TTTTTCTTTTCTTTTTTGTTTTTCTTTGCTATTTTATTTTTCTAAAATATGATATTTTTAATTTAGATTAAATTGATTTCAGAGAGTATACAATAGAAGCTTCTATTAATTAGACATAGATTAGTTTTTATAAGAATTTATAAATTTTTGATTTGTATTTTGTGTTACTTAATACTCAATAAAATTTGTGAAACTATAATATCTTAAAAAAAAATAAATTATTTATTTTAATTTTAAATTAAAATACTTTAAAAATTTAACCAAATAAAGTTATTATATTATAGATTAATATAAAGTAAAAATTTCAATTTTGGTGAAAAAATTTTAGAATCACATTTTTCTAGTAAATCTTCTATATATATTATTTATTATCAAATTTTATAAAATTAGTTACTATATATTTTATGTTTTTTATGATTTAAAGTTAGATTTATATACTAAAATTTTGATTAAAATAATTTAGTTAACTGTAAAAAAAAATAAACTAATTTCTAATTAACTTAATTGATTAATTTTAATTGTTTTTTTTATTTAATTAAATAGTTTATTATATTAATTATTTATAAAAAGATCAACTAATTTAATTTCACTGCTATTATTTTTTATATTTTAATTAATAGCTTATTATTTGTTTATAAAAAAATATTAGATTTTTAAATTTTAAATAATAATTTTATTTAATTAAATAATTTAATAAAAAAATGATTTAGGTTAAAATTTATATACTTTAATTAGATAATTTATTAATTGTTTACAAAAAAAAATTTAAAATTATTATTTATAAATTTTGATTAAAATGATATGTAAAATTTTAAAAGTTAATAAATTAATTATATTAATAATCTTTCTATTAAAATAAAAAATAATAATTCAATTTTAATAATATTTAATATTTCATATATTTAAGTAATTTCTGTTAAATAAAAACTGAATTGAATTTAATTATTTGTATAAAAAAAAATTCATCATTATTAATTTTAATTTAAAAAATGAAATTAAATATTAATGTAAATAATCTTATTAAAAATAATAATTATAACTAAATATTACTAATCATTTAAAAATTAGATATCAAATAATTAAGGAAAAGAAAAGATTAAAATAACAATATCTTTAAAATAAAATAGAAAAAATTTTTTTCAAATAAATAGAATAAATTATTAACTATTATTAGACTGATTAATAGGTGATATAAATATTTTATATAATAATTAATTTTAATTTTTGTAAATTTATTTATAAATTTGAAAAATTATATTTTATTTTATATAGTAAAATTATATTAGAAAGTAATATTTATTTTAAAATTAATGTTAAATATTACTAAAAACTTTATTATTTTTATAAAATTATATATAGAAAAATATTTTTAAATTAACAAATAATAATGTTTCAGATGAAATCCAATTTGAAAATATTTGAGTTTAAGTAGTTTAGAACAAATAAGTGTAATTTAAAAGTAAAATGTAAAGAAACTATTTTAACAGGTGAAACTTATAATTTATTTATTAAGTATAGTTACACTTATTTATATAAAAATAAATCAAATTTATTTAATAAAATTAAAACTTAAAAAAGTTAAGAATAGAGTTTAGAAATTTAGTCTGAAATATTAACTAATAATGTATAAATCCTTTTATTATTTCTAATGCTACATAGATTCTTTTTTTGTATTAAATAAATAACTTCTTTAAAAATAAAGTAATTTAAATTTTTCTAATGTAACTTTAAATTTATTCACATTACTTAAAAAATTTTATATTTTTAAATATTATAATATAATTGCTTTTAAATTTTTAATTAGATTAAATCTAATAAATTTATCAGCTAATAATAGTTTTATTTTATTTATTTAATTATTTTTTAGTTATTTTATAATATATTATAGAAGTATGATCCTATTGAAAAATTGTAATCTTATCTGTTAATTCATAAATTATATAGTAAATAGAAGTAAATATAAATTTAGATTATAATATAAGTATTTAAATTAATTCTTTTATTCTTTTCTTTAATTTTATTATAAAAATTAATGGTTTTTTTATTCTTTTTATAAAATATATTTAAACTGTAATTGATTTTTATTCATTTTTAAAAATAGATATTAAAAACTCAATATTAAATTTTTTTCTTATACTTTTCTAAATTCTTATTTACTATAACTGCTTTTTAATCTTAATACTTAACTTTGAGAAAATAAAATAATATAATTAAATAATAAATAAAAAAAATTATTATAAAATTAAAGTAAATTTATAAATAATAAAAAAAATTGTTAATTAAATTTATTATATATTAAACTATTAAATTATAAAGATTAATACTTTATTAATATATAAATTATTTTTCAAAGTTTAATTATTAATTGAAATATATAATTATTTTTAAAATTAGATAATTAGTCTGAAACAAAGTGAAGAACTATATATGTTTACACAAAATGTTTTATTCAAAAATTAAGTTAATGCTAATTAGTTTTTCAATATTTTTTATTTTAATTAAAATCATTTTGACTTAACAATAATCTTCATTTTCTAGTTTATATTATATATAAACTATTAATTATATTTTAAATCTTTATTCTAATTAATTATTTTTTGAAATCATTTTTTTCTTTTTATAATTATATTAAATATCTTAATATATTTATTTAAATTATTTTTTATTTATAATAAATTTTTTACTTAAATTTTTTTATAGTCTATTTTAAGTTTGTTTTTTATATAAATAAAAAAATAATTTTTTTTTATCTTATTTACTTAAAAATATAAAATATAAGTATAATAAATTTTATTAGTATAAAATAGATTAGTTAATTTTTCTAAGCATTAATTATAATGTCTATATAATTAGTATATTTAAATTTAATATTATAAAACATTAAATATTAATAAAAATTAACTTAAATTTGATTTATTTTATTTAAATTAATTTATATAATTAGAGTTAAGTTTTTTATTTATTAAAATAGAAAATTTATAAAATTATTAAAGTTTATTAATTTTATTATTTAATAAAATTGATTTTAAATTTGATTTTGATTATTAAAAATTAATTTCATTTTTTTTTTTATATATACAGTTTTTTTTTTTTTTTTTTAGTAAATCAAATTTCAAATACTTTAGTATCATTTTTTTTTAAAACAATTTGTTTACCCTTTGTGAATTTGTGAATTATGGTATACTAATATTATTTTCTTTTTAGAAGAAAGTCTTTCTCTTTCTTTAGGAGACATAAAAAATCTTAGTGAAAATATATTAAACAACTAAAACATAATTTCAAAGAATTTCTACACCATCACTTAGCGTGTCCACGTTTTATAATGACAACCTCAAACAAATAACGTTTTTAAATTCAGACTGATCGAATTTCTTTATAAATATACATGTATATATGATTTTAATAGTTGGATTTTACAGAATAACGAAACATAAAATAAGCGAAATATATATTTGACGAGATGTAAATTCGTTATATTATTTCTTTACTCTCTGAAAATTTTTATTTGTTTCTATCATAATAACCCCCCCTTCTATAAACATCAGATATCGAAATAAATTATCGCGTATATCGAAAATTTTGCTGTGCCAAGGCATGTGTTAAAATCGGACTTAATTCGGCCAAAAATCAGGATCAGGTTAATTTTTAAATATGGACCACATAAAAGTTTTTTAAAAAGAATTTTGCTATGTTGAGGGAGGAAGTGAACCCTGAACCATCGAAAAAAGCAAGTTTTTTAAGATCATTATTGGTTGGTATTCAGGGATGTATCCTGATATAAAAATGAAATGATGTAATTCGTAAATCTGTTTCAACGGGGTTTTCATTACTTATCTGTCACAAAAGGGGGTTATATTCTTTGATATTTATAGTAGAGTTCACTATTGCTAAATATCGGGATTTGCTCTGGTTTGGACATCTTTATAAAAATACTTGTCGTTTTGTTTCCGGAATATATTGATGCAATTATTTTAGAGCCAATCACAAACTTTTTTATTTAAAACCATTTTTTTTTTTCACTTCTACAATAATAAATTTTTAATAGAACAAAATGCAAATAAAAAATACTTCAAAAAAAAAAAACAGGTCAAATTACCAACCTCCTTCCTTCCTAAAATAACAAAGCCCTCCGTTACTTTCTAAAATTTCACACCAAAATTTGATTTTGATTAATGCAATTTCCAAATGAAGATAATTTATTTGCTTAAATAATTCTTTACCAAACGTCTTTACATAAGGAGCATGCTTGGTTTAGTGGTATAATTCGTGCCTGCCACGCACGAGACCCGAGTTCGATTCTCGGAGCATGCACATGATAGTTTTTTTTTTGTTCATATTTTTTTTTTAAAAAAAATTCTTAGATACATTTTTAAATCAAATAATTAAATATTTAATTTTCATATTATAAGATGGGCATGCTTGGTTTAGTGGTATAATTCGTGCCTGCCACGCACGAGACCCGAGTTCGATTCTCGGAGCATGCATATAAAAAATTTTTTTTTTTGCCTTTTATGGATTTTATGAGACTTTTTGTATTGAAAATTATTTTACCAAATTGGGAAATAGATTTATATAATTTAATAATTCAATGCAACTATCATTCCGTCATATTATCTAAGGAAAACGTTCTTGTATCACAATTGACTATAGAAATACAAAAAAAAAAAATTAATAAAATCGAGGGCTTTAGTTTCTTACAACTCGAAAGCCCATCTGATCGTGCTCTAATTTCGTTTTTATTCACTTCCTTGACCTTTCCTTAATGTTCTACCTTGTTATTTTTCTTTAGATCTAAATTAATCAAAGATAAATTGTTGAAACGCGTTTTTATCTCTATTTAGTTTGGTCTTTAACTGAATAAGCTAATAAGAACTCTTTCTATTTTAGCAATTTTTTTCTTCACTTAAATTTTCTTAAAGGCAACCAGTGTTCAATTTACTCATTGACTGTAATAAAATCAGAAGTTTTACAAAGTTTTCAAGTCGGGAGCCACTTAAAATATGGCTACATTGGACACTGCGCATAATTATACCGATTCTTTCTTGGGTGTAGCAACCCAATTAGGAATATCTGCCTCCATCTCCTTGTATTGTTTATTACAATTTGAATGGAATCGAAGGAAAAAATCAATGCAATATTTATATACTCCTAGGACAAAGCTAGCAAAGTAAGTGAAATGTTATAACTCCGTGTTACTTTTCTTTCCTTTTTATTTTTTAATGACTGGTTTAAATCATTTCATAGAAATCCTTCACCACCAATACCATCAGGTTTATTTTCATGGATAAGGGCAACTATATTCTTATCAGATGAATTTTATTTAAAGAATGTTGGACTTGATGCATTGATGTATATTCGATTTTTAAGGATGGCATTTCAATTTGTACTACTTAATGCCCTTACTGTTGGGTTAATTCTAATGCCAATACATTATACATATAATAATAAAGATGGAGACAAAAAAGAGGACGACGGTGTAACAAGACTTTCTGTTAGTAATATTTCTTCTGACGATATCAATATTTTGTGGGCCCATACAGTTTGTACGTATATAGTGAGCATTAGTTGGATGTTCCTTTCATATAAAAACTATTATGATTATATGAATTTACATCGGCAACATCTTATGGATCAGGTGTCGGATGGTTCAATATCCGTACGGACTGTTATGGTATCTAGAATACATAAAGATTTAAGATCTGAAGAGAAACTTCAAGAATTTGTTAGCAATCTTGGATTAGGTGAAGTGGAGTCTGCTAGAATGGTAAGACATACTGGAAAATTAGATCGAAAAATCTCTAGGAGAGAAAATGCACTTTTATCGTTAGAAAAAGCCCATATTCAGCTTGCAAAAAATGTTTGTAATGCTATAAAAAGGAAGAAGTTACTTGGGACTGGGTTTTGGTCAAAACTATTTGGTTATTCTAGTGAAATACCTACTTTGGCTCTTGAAACAGGTGAAAATCAAAAAATTCAAAATCTTTTTGATTGGTTAGATCCACGAAAAAAGAGACGTGCAAATACAAGTGAAGCATCAGAGAATGATGAAAATGTGATCAGACATTCTAAACATTCCACATCCGAAACTTTCACAAGTGATGATTTAATGGATCGTGAAGATGGATATGGACGTCAATTCCGAATTTGGAATGCTCTTCATCATATATCCAAGGATAATCTTGATAAATTTCAGCCAACACACAGAACCGGATTTCTTGGAAGTAAAAAACGTGTTTATTCTATTGATCATTTCTTAAAGAAATTTAATTTCCTTGATCGTCGTATCGCTGAATTACGTTCAAAGTCGATCCAAGAACCTCCTTATAAGGCTACAAGTACAGGATTTGTCACGTTTAAAGATCATATCGGTGCGCAATTATGTGCTCAAAGCATAATGTGTTCAGTACCCCATACTTGTACAACAAGGATGGCTCCTGAGCCAAGAGACATTCTTTGGGATAATTTGACAATGTCATTCAAAGAAAAATTATTTCGTTATCTCTTTGTAAATGCTTGTGTCTGGTAAAATAATTCTTCTTTTTCTTTTAATCTTACTATCATAAGGATAAAGTAGCCTTGACCTGATATATTTCTTTTCCTTAGGGCATTGACTATCTTTTGGCTTTTTCCAATCGTTGCCTTCCTTACCCTCACGTCTATCAATTCACTCTCCGAAAGATTTGAATTTCTAAAACAATTCTTTTTGACATCGCCAACTATATCGACATTACTTCAAAATGTACTACCAACCGTCTTGGTTTCATTCTTTATGGCAATTTTGCCTTGGATTCTGATGGGTTTGTATTTTTATAACGTGTTTATCTTTTCCTTATAATTTATAATTGTTTCTTAAATTCCTTCCTTCTCTCTTTAGAAATATCAAAGCAAGAAAGTTTTTCTTCATATTCGGAACTTGAAGAAGCTGTTTTAATACGATATTATCATTTTTCATTTTTCAACGTGTTCCTTGTGTTCTTACTGGGTATCACATTTTTACAGTCCATTGTTAAGGTTCTTGATAAACCCACATCCATTCTTGACGTTTTAGCTACCAATATGCCTAAGGTAAGAACCTATTTTATTTTTAAAGAGCAAAATTTTTTGATTATTATTATAACAAATATAATGTAAATTTATTTGTTTTTTAGGGAGCCACATTTTTCATAAATTATATCATATTTAGTACCTGTACTCATGGACTTGAACTTGTTCAAGTTGGATCACAGTTATTTCTTCACATCATTCTTACTTCTCGATTTGTATCAACAACTCCCCGCATGCTTCAACGCGTAACACATCCTTGGTCATTTCAATTCTATTATTATTACCCAATTCATATCCTAATTCTCGTTATTACCATCACTTATTCTGTGATTAATCCTTTAATCTTAATATTCTCACTTATCTATTACGCTACAGCATTAGTTGTATTCAAGCATCAGTTTGCATACTGTTATGTACGTCGATACGAAGCAGGAGGGAAATTCTATCGACGCGTTTTTCGTTATTCAACAGATGGTTTGATTATATTTCAGCTTACCATGATTGGTTTGATATGGTTGCGTAAAGGAATTGTGGTTGGCGCTGTGTTAGTACCTCTTTTGATAGGCACCGGGTATTTTAAATATTATTGTCATAAGACATTTTATTCCAGAACGCATTATTTAGCTTTGGATTCCAAACAACATAATCGTGTACAGAATGAACAAAATGAGCAAAGTAGGAATCATGTTGCTAATACGAATGAAAATGTTGGTGTATTATCAGAGAAAGTATTAATTGATTCAACCGAACCTTCTCATGTCGAGAAAGAAACTGCTGCAGAAAATAAGGGTAAAACTATCAAAATTAAAAGTTCTAATATAGGTGGTATATCAAATAATAAGGAAGGTGATATTGGAATAGGTTCAATGTTTTCGAGACGTACAAATGGATTTAGTAGGTTGGAAGGAGATGATAGCACGGACAGTGAGACTAGTAGTTTTACTAGCACAAAAAAAGATTCCGTTAAAAAAAATGTAGTCATTATGGATACTATCGAAAGCGATAGTCAAAGTTCAAAGGATGATGTCAAGAATAAAAATTCAAAAAGTTCTTTAGAAATGGTTAGAATATCTACGGAAAAATCACATCATAACTCGTCAGATAAAGTTAACATACAAAAGTCGAGTTCATTACCTCAATTTGTGATTTCGTCGAATGAACAAGATAAAGAGAGCGCAAATGGTAATGGTCTTTCCTCTAATATCATAGATGGCAATTTTGATAAATTATTAAGTCCTACCATTACTAGTTCAATTATTAATTTACCAACTGAATTACTTAAATCTAAAGTAGCTTTAGCTACAGGGTCAACGGATAATATGATCAATCATGATAATAGTTCAAGTTCAAGTCAAATTCAAGAGATATCCACTAAAGCTAATAAAGTATTAACAATCGTTCCTCCGGAAGCCAGAAGCAATCATCTTAATGTACAAATCATTTCACCGGTTGGATATTCGAGACATGCTTCACGTTTACCTTCAAGAGGAAATCTACGAGGATGTTATCATCCAGCACATTTTACACATGATCCAAATCTTAAAGTACTTCAGGATGAAACATCAACATACCAAACTTACACACATCCGAATCTTGTTAAAGCTTTAAATCGTAAACTTTGGCTACCTCGTAATCCTCTAAAGAAAATTTCTGTAGAGGATAATGTTGAATTAGATAAAGCATTGACATCTAGTGAAGGAGGACCTGGTATCGTTGGATACTGGGGTGCCTCTTCGCCATTTTTAGGTGAAGCCAAAGTCAGTATTTATGGAGATCATGAATTTCCTTCAAGATTATTTCATTTACGAAGAGCGACAAGTGAAGGAGAAAACCAAAATGCGAGACATGAACGAAGATGTACAGAAGATGGACAACTTGTTTTTCAAAGGGCTGGTAGTGATGGTGATGATGATGATGATTATTCATATGAATGTGGTCCATTTTCACCTGAAGAAGAAAATATAGTCAGTTTAAAAGAATTTGGAAGTGAATTAGCACCAGGTGAATTATCAAGTGGAGAAGAATATTAATTTAACAAATATTTCAAATATATTTGGGTTTGGTCAAGACATTTTATTAATAATTATTATTTATGATAAGAGACAATGGTAATTTTCTTCAAAAGTTTAATTTAGATTTTTATTTTATTTTATTTTTTAAATTTTAAAATATTTTCCTCCCCTCTTTTTTTTTTTGTAATATAACGATAGTCGAATTTTATTAATATTCAAGTTTTTATTATATTATAGTGAATTGCAAAAATATAAAAATAATTTTTTTTTATGTAATATATAATTGAATAAAAAAAAAAAAATCTCTAGTAGTACAAGGTTATTCGCTGCGGCTAATGATTCTTGTAGCATACATGCCTCACGATATCTACATATGCAAATTTATAATTAAAAATACATTTAAATGCAACCTTGCTTAGGAATTTCTGATTAGAATTATGATAGTTCGATTTTTTTTTTCGGAACTTATCCACAGCCTAAAATAAATTTTGGAACTTTGCGATCACAAAATGTAACTGTTTCGAATATGAAATTGCTGGAATGGTATAAAAGAAGATCCATTCCTGATATTTTATCCCCCCACAATGATTAGTTATGAAAATAAATCCGATTAACACTTTACCGAATTATTACGTAAGTTGCATGAAAATATCTTTGTTCAAAGTATTAATAAATTTATAAAATTAATGAATATTATAAGTTTAATATAAACTTTATAGTAAATTTTTCTTATTAGTTTATTAAAAAATCCTTTTTGAATAATTATGAGAAAATTTCTTGATTGTCAAAGTATATTTAAAGCAATTGTATTCTTTATGAAATAATTTTAATAATTTTGCATTTTGAAATTAGCATAGATATTCACAGGAATAACAAAATATAAACATATTTTATGTTTAGATATAGATGATAAAACTTTAACATTAACTTCCAAGTCGTAGAAGTTTGATTTTATGATTTTGACTAATAGTAATTTGGAAAATTGATTTGAAAGAATGAGTGAGTTAATTGCATAAAATGTTCTTGATTTTGGTTAATAATATTTGATACTATCATCAAAAATTTATTAATTTTTCAATAATTAATGATGTATTATTATTTAGTAACCTAATCTTCTCATTTAATGATATTATAAGAATATTCTTTAAACAATTTTTTCTGAAGATATTTGTTTCTATTATTTCTTTACTAACAAAAAATTATTTAAACTTACTTTTTCTTCTCTTTTATATACTTTTGCAAATATATTTAACAAATAATCATATAAATTAAAAAGGATTTTAATTATAATTTTTCTTAAATGTTATTTATAAATATTAATGATAATATAATCAGCTTATAAGATATTTTAAAAAGTTTTAATATTTATTATTAAAATATTTATTATTCGCATTCTCAAGAATAAAATAAAGTATACTTCACTATTACTATATACCATACTGTTCTAAAAATAAGCAACAAGTAATAAATAAATATTTATTATTAATGTGTGACAAATAATATAATAAAATACGTGTGAGAAATAAAATAATTACCATAAAAAGAGCGTATTACAGGTTGCTTATTTTCAGAATAGTATGGTAATCTTAAAATGAAATTAGTATATAATTTACTATATACTTAGTTTTAGCAATCATTTAATCTTTTCTTTTGTTTTACTGATATTATATATTTATATTTATATAATGAAATTTTTAGTATTTATGAAATATTCTTTGTAAATTAAGCAAATAAAATAGTTTATTTTAACATTTTTTAATATTTTATAAATATTATTAAATATTTTATTTTTTAAATAACTTTCAATATTACTTAATAAAAAATTTAATATAAAATTCTATAAAAAATTAAGTTTTATAATATATGATTTTTATGGAATTTCAGTATAATAAATATGTTTTTTCTTATATAAAAATTTTAAACTTAATATAAAAAATAGAAAAAAATATATACAAAAAAATAAGAAAAAAATATATAATTTATAATTCTTTAACATATATAAAAATTATAGATAAACTTATATTTTATAATTCTTTAATATATGCAAAATCACAAATAAAATGTATATTTTATAATTCTTTTATAGATGTAAAATTATAGACAAAATATATATTTTAAATGTAATTTATATATATAGTAGTAGAGAAATGGGATTTTAGTACATTTTGATCAAATGCTTTCAAAAGGTTACCCTGAGTATTGAAAAAATTACATATAGCGTAATCTCAATGTAAATATACTTGTAACCTTAAGGAAATAAATTTGTCTTCTTGAATGTTATTCGCTCTGTAATCTTTTGTTTCCTATATTAAAAAATAAATTTTTACTTTGGCACAAATAAGTCTGAAACCTATTTTGCTTTCAATCTAGATAACAAAAAAATTTCGCTTATAGTTTTCAAGTTTTAGATTGCAAGTTGTTTTCCAATTTGCATACAATACTAATGATAGCACTTATTAGGAGAAAAAATATAGCAGAAATATAAGCAAGTCCTTTAGGACAAAGCGAATATGGATGCTATATTTTTTTGACCCTATGCTATCCTATTCTAGTATATGCTATTATCCCTTAAACTGTAGAGGTTCACAGGCAAATTTGCCTGCTTATTTACTATAAATTCCCTTCTGATTTACTTTTATGAAAAATTAAAATTTTTAAAAAATTTT